TTCACCATTATTTTGCAGGATGTGCGCATATTTCTTGACGGAGCAAAGAACGGAGCCATCGTAATATCATTAGGAACAAATTTGAAATGGAAAGATATCGGCATAGACAAGATTGAAACCGTTCTACTGGTTCTGTCGAAACTGAAGCAACGAGTGCTGTGGAAGCTAGATATTGAAGTGCCATTTGAGATACCGGACAATGTAATGGTTGTGAAATGGATGCCGCAAAGCGAAGTTTTATGTACGTTTCCCCAGTTTCTATGAATTTAGGAAAAACATAGGACCCGATATATATTTTTTATTATCAATTTATTAACAACTAGTTTGATACACCCGTGCTTCGCTACGGTATGCGAAGGATTCTATAATTCATCTCCGAATTTAGATTTGCCCCTTTAAAAGTTGATTAGGACAAAATCTTGAATTATGTTTTTAAGCACTTGTATGGGTAATCTTGTAAGAAAAAACCGTCGATATCTCAACGGGGCTGAGAGATATTGAGGAATCCGTGAAAACACATTTTACTTCTTTTCACCCCGTTAGGGGGTCGAATTTAAAAAAATCCCTTCTTAGTGGGTGTTTACGTCATGGAAAGAATATACTTTCCGAATTTCATGTTTCTAAGTTTAAGGGTTTGGGCTGGGCGTTGATGAGTCGGAACATTCGATTATATATAGATGTAAGATAGATAGATAAGGATATTTATAAAATTTGAGTGTTAGATATTAATGCATATACCATTTTTTTAAAAACTGCATTGAGAGAAATGAGATTTATAATTGTAAGAATTACTTATTTTTTACGTAATATACCTATTCGAATAGTTATTTTAATTATCAGTGTTTTAGTAAAAGTCGCGATAGACAAACACAAAAACATTGCATATATGTATATAAATATTTTGTGGATAGAATGGTTATATGACTAATTACAGCAAAACTCCATTTTAAATACGGTATAAGAAAATCAATTTTTGTTGCATTAATTTCATCTAGTTATCTCGCAGTAATGTTTGAACGATTTTGTTTTCTTTTATTATAGTTTGCTTGTACCTAAGACAATTTCAGTTTTCAATTATTACAATTATATTTTATAATCTATTTATAATGAGAAATTCGGTTTTGGTTTAAAAATGATTTACAGGCAACAAAACTATTGATTGGAAAGCCTATTGCATTAGATTAATCGAGACATGTACATACATACATGTTCGAGATCCGTCGAACGTTCCTACGCGAAACATCGGCTCGAAAACGTTATTATATTTAACATCGAGAAATACCGATGTTTATGTTGTTCAAGCTCTGTCGAACTTGTGCGAAATATACGTTCCCCGCGATCCCCGCGCCCTCGAAGCCCATCGATCGCGATCACGCGTTACGAGAGTGCTCCCTTATTTGTCGGAGCACGGAAACGGCTGTTTTGACGCGTGATGTGACCATACGGACGAATCGCGATTCAGCTCTCATCGCGCGTTCGTTCCTGAAAAACAACCCTCTTGAGTAAACGGCGAATTCGCTCGCCTCGACAGTCAGTCGTTGCTGAGGATTCCTAGCCTCAAGTCGTGAGCTAGACCTCATAATCAAAATTCGTCGCGTATCAATCCTCGTCTAAAGACAGCACGGCTCTCTCCCTCTTAAATCGCTGCGTGAATCGCTATTCGTTCGTTTCGTCTTAACGTGCGGATCAAAGTTCCTTATATATTTAAGTGTGCTACTTAGCGAGGGGTCCGAAAACTTCCGGTCGTGCTCCGCTCGCGATCGTTCTTCTGCCACGCGTTCAAGATTTCCGTTCGACGCGTACAAGATCTCCGCTACGCGAGAGGCTTCGATGCGAGAAGCTGAGACAAGATTTCCGTTCGCGATATCTGGCAGAAAGGTACGAACGACTCAGAAGATTTCCGAATCCGCGGCGCACGATCCGTGGTTCCCCCTCGCGTCCTTCCCGTTCTTGAAATAAAGACTATATATTTCTTTGTGCAATCTGTGTTACGAGTGCTTTAATCCTCATTCCTCCCGCGAATTTACGACTCGCGTTATCCACGCTTCTCGCTCAACTCTGAGCGGAATCCAGATTCAGGGCGACCGTCGTAAAGCGACGCCCGAACAATACATCTAATGAAATGTTTGTATCAATGTGAGATTTCTATCATAATCGTTGAGATTTAAAATTCACTATAATATATATTTTAATGACAAACTTCAAACTTCAAATTTTAATGACAAACTTCAAAAAATTACTCGACCCCACTGGCCATTACTTTTATTCTTTCTCTTCACAACGTTTCGGCCTCAATCAGGCTCTTTTCAAGTGAGATGTTACATTATACATCAAGCAACAACCGATAGACTTGATCCTGAGTTCCACCAGCTTTTGTTTCGACGGGCAATTTTATGAGCAGATTTTTGGTAGTCCGATGGGATCTCCCCTTTCCCCGATTCTCGCGGATTTGGTTATGGAAGATCTGGAGACACACTGTCTGCAAATGTTGAGTTTTGCTATATCTTTTTATCGTAGATACGTTGATGACATTTTTGCGGTGGTTCCACGGTCGAAAATCGATGAGTTACTCAAAATATTTAATAATTATCACATCAGGCTAAAGTTCACGTATGAATTGGAAACAAACGGCGCATTAAATTTTTTAGATACCATGGTATCTAAAAAATTTTGTTCTTAAGATTAATAGGAAGAGCAAATCTATCTCCCAGACTCAGAAATTTAAGAATTCTGTCTGGAATCTGTTTTTTACTCGTATTTACAATCCATTTATTATGGTCAAAGTTTAAAAAGGAATTATACAGAGGAATCTGTGTAGACACAATCGAGTTAAACTTATTACACATTCTTTCATTGACCGATCGACTAAATCTGGATATAAAATCAGGTTGGTACAGAAAACCAACATTCTCGGGACGGTATATTAATTATTTCTCGAACCACCCGTTTAAATATAAGGTTAATATCATACGGAATCTTGTGGATAGAGCCATTCTGCTTTCCAATAACCACTCCGACAATGTCTCAACGGTCAGAAAAATTCTCTTAAATAATTGTTTTCCGGTTGAGGTTGTCAATAAATATATTAATGTCCGGCTCGGTGAGCTAAAGAAAAGAGATAGTTCAGCAGACTCAAGTGCAGATTCAGGTCTCGCCGATTGTATGACGGTATACCGTACGTTAAAGGTTTTAGTGCGAATATTGAGCGTACAATGAGAGGTGTCAAATTTAAGACAATTCTTACAGTCCCGAAGAAGTTAAATTGCGTTATTAAAAAGGGTAAGGACAGACTGCAGCCTCTTAAACAGACTGAGCTAGTTTATGAAATTGATTGCGTAAACTGCAGTTCATGTTATATTGGACAGACTAAAAGGCATCTAGAGACACGTGTAAAGGAACATCGAAATGACATCAAAAGGCACGATAATAACCATTCGGTCGTTACGAAACATCGCCTCGCGCACAATCACGATTTCGATTGGCGCAATCCGAAAGTTCTGCACAAGGAAAGACAAGAAAAGGGAGATTTCTGAAATGTTTTTTATCAAGAAGTGCAAAGATGCGGTCAACCTCCAAAAAGACACGGAGAATTTGCCCGCAATATACGCTCGAGTCATCGAGACTGTATAGGATTTCGGTTTGTTTTTGTATACTTTCAGAACACGGTAACTTGTTTGATCTTAGCCTGTCCTGCGGTATTTTGGGAACACGACTTAATTGTAATGTAATTTGTCATTGTGTATGATTTGTGCCAGTGCGACTTTGAATATTCACGTTGCGGACCGTGTGGAGAAAATAAGTTTCTTCACGGTTACGCTAACAATGTTTGCGAGTTTTGCAATCTCACTCCTTTGATGCAACAATTATGTAAGCTTCTACGTTTTAATTCTGACATTCCTTCTGGTTTTTATATTTTTGACATTTTTGAAATATTCGTTTGACATATTCGTTTTTAGTATTGGCGTGCGCACGATGTGGTTTGGATGCGGCGTCGGGCGACACGTGATTTAGTTGTTGCTTGATGTATAATGTAACATCTCACTTGAAAAGGGCCTGATTGAGGCCGAAATGTTGTGAAGAGAAAGAATAAATAAGTAATGGCCAGTGGGGTCGAGTAATTTTTTGAAGTTGTCATTTATATGTACTGGCGAACCAATATACTGGATTGTTTATATATTTTAATATATATTTTATGTTTAGCTCATAAAAATGTAAGAGCAGTCTGGACACATGGTGGTCTTCTCAGTACGCAGGAAGCCATTTGGAAAGGTATACCGATGATTGTAATGCCTTTCTTTATGGATCAAAAATCCAATACAGAAATATTAGTAACTAAAGGCGTTGGCGTATACTTGGACATTAAAACTTTGTCCGCTCAATCTTTATTACACGCAATTGAAGAAGTACTTTACAATGAAAGGTATTATATTTTGATCACATTTTAATCATTATTATTTAAGCAGAAAATTAACAATATATAGTTATATTTCAAATAATGTCTAAACTCTAATGTTTAATATAGTAATTATAGTAATACCTATAGTAATTATAGTTTAATCGATTTACAAATTTCTGTAAAAATAATTGCTTATAAAATAATAGATTATAAAATTGGGTTTGTTTTTTTTTCTCTTGTTATCTTGTATTTGGAATTTTAAAATTAATGTATAAAAAAACGTATTTTTCTTTAATTACGATATAATTTTTGGGATAAAGTTCCGAAAACGGCCCCTCTCCGATTTCGATGAAACTTTGTGAAAAACTTCATTTTGGGTTAAAATAAAAGTCCTTAAAAGGACTTTTGGCGACTCCTATGATAAAGCCATTTTTTAAGATAAAATGATAAATAGTACACACGTAAGCGCAGGAGGGTGATAAAGAATTACAATAAACTAAGTAGGTTTATATATTTCAGTTAGTATTATTCAGATATTTGATACATAGTTGCCATAGTATTGAAAAAAGCTTCATTTTAAGTCGTATCAGTCTTGCAATAACGATTGACAAAAGATGGCTGATAGAATATTAGCACAAACACGCCAAATAGACCGAATACTACAGAATGTAAATAATCAAAGTCAGAAGCTAGTATATATATATATATATATAAACGAGCTTGTAAAGCACGCTATACAAACTCATGTGACAATTCGTCTCGCGTGGAAAGTGTATGCGTGAAGTATTTCGACATATATATTATTCATTTACGCCTTCCAATACTCAAAATAGCTACTATATTTTCCACGCGAACCAAGGTCCACCCCCATCCACCCCTGCTTACGGGGGAGGATAAAAACATAAAATTATTCAATAAAAACAGTATATACTGAATTTATAACAACCTGTAGAATTACGAAAATTTTTCTATATTTTTTTATCATTTTATCTTAAAAAATGGCTTTATCATAGAAATCGCCAAAATTCCTTTTAAGGGTTTTCATTTTAATCCAAAACGAAGCTTTTCACAAAGTTTCATCGAAATCGGAGGGTGGCCGTTTTCGGAACTCCACCCAATTTTTGTATTACATCATTAATAGTAAATCATTTTTACAGTTATACAAGAAATATGAAACGATTATCTAGCGAATTCAGGGATCGGCCAATACCGCCATTAGATTTAGCTGTTTGGAGTATTGAATACACAGCCCGTCATCCAAATGGAACTTTAGTAACGCCGCTGAGATCTCAAAGCTGGGTAGAACAAAATCTGATAGATGTCTACGCATTTTTGTTCTTTAATTTCTTTATAATATTGTTAAGTATATTCTTTGTAATAAAGCTATTTATTAATTTCTGTTATAATTATATGTACACCGCAGTTAAATTAAGCAAGAGCAAACAAGCGTAAGTCGTAGAAACATTAACAGGCTTTGCGTGCAGTTGCTGCATATAATGTTAATGTAAAGAAGTGAAATTACCGTAAATATAGAAAATGTTGTATTATTTAAAATTGTAATTAATAATAAAATATGTTACACTAAATTGTAAAATAAATCAAGATGTAGTAAGTACACCACGATCGTGGTGAATAAAAACATTTAATAAAATCTTTTTGTTGTATAAAAGCTCCTTTTTGGCAATAAATAAAATATATAAGTAACCTTAAAAAAGAAAACGTACAAAAAAGGCTTCTGTACATGTAAGTAGGCGCTTGCCTACTTATAAAAAGTCTATTAGGAAATGACACTAAGTATAAATAAAGCTTAGAAAAAAAACTGTTATATAGATATATATTTTAGAAAAATTTAATAAAAAAAAGAAATATTTATAATGTAAAAAAAGTTGGCGCTACTACACCTAAAAATATTCAAAAACAATTAAAATGTGTGTGATGTGTGAACATAATAATACGATTTAATATTTTATATAAATATACAATTTAATATTATATATTAATAATAAATATATTATAAATAATATTAATGGATATATTATAAATTTAAGTTATTTGATGTAGCAGCGCCAAGTTTTTTCGTATTAAATAGGTATTTTTTATTTTGATTAAATTTTTCAAAAGTATGCAACGGAATTTTTTCCAAGATTAAGAGACACTGTAGTGTTTCGCGCCAAGTATGCGTGAAGCAAGGCACTGGCTACATTTAGGGCGATCAACTAGTTGTGTCGGTTGTGCGCAGGCAAGATTTATCGTTCAGCTATAACGGCTGAACTGATGCGTTTCTGAATGGGTTCAATCGATTTGTTGGTGTCAAATTACAAATAATAAAACTGTCTTTACTTGTGCTCTACGTGTCCTCTATAATGAGATATTCCAGTTCAAAGTCCAAAATTGCTAAGTTTTTTTAGTCTGCATTTAATGGTTCAAATGTTTTAAAACGTTCTTTCTCTTCTTTTCTTTTCTTAATTGAAAAAAAAGGAAAAGAAAAGTGTTGTCATGCTTCTAAGTTTGATGTGAGATCGCATAATTTGGCACCACATAAGGCTGAATTAGCACGAAGAAGTCGATGAAAGTAAGTAAATCTTATTATTTGTTAAAATGTTCGAATTTTATATTTATTTATATTCTCAAGTTTAATTTTTCTAGTAGGCTACAAAAATTATTGATAATAATAACATAACAACAAATAATTACATATTATTTGCTAAAATACAATTACAATATATATAATTAACTCATTTTTATTGACATTACATTCCGCTGACACCGTGGGTCTTTTAAGGCACAGTCAATTTTTCGTATATTACAGTTTTCTCCTGACGTTTTAACACTAAAAAGAAATTGCAACAGTTCCGGCCTATGTAAATATAGAAATCACTTTTTGAAATCTTAAAGATACATGAATTTTTATAGATTTTTTTTGTAACACAGAAACGCTTTTAAAAAACTTTTAGACTTAAAAGTTTTATGGTGTCCGGGTAAGTGCTTCAAAAACATGGTGTCCACGCAATGTTAATACAATTCTTTAACGTATGTATATTAACAATTATCATACTGCATTATGTAATAATCAATCATGTATTACATAATTATCGTCACTGATTTAATGATCGTTCTGCGTGCAAATGAATAATAGTAGTAAGAAGTGAACATGATATACTGCGTACCACGTACATTTATACATATTACGAATGATTTATTTATGCATCTTTCCTTCTCTTTCTTAAATAACCGATATTTTCTGCAAAATAATACTTAAGGGGATATTCTGATTTGAAAGGTCGGAAAAAGGTATTTTTTAAAAATTTTTTGTAGAAAAACGAAAGAAGTGACTAACGTAAAACTTTGCATGTTCTTTTAGCCTTATTTTAAGAATATATTTTTATTTTTTAAGTAACAAAATTGTTTCTTTTCTATATTATATCCTGATTACTAGAAGGTGTAAAACTGTAAATGATAGTGTAAATGATTTTAGCTATTCTAGGTATCTGATAAAATAAAAAAATTTCTTATTTAGAAGTGTGACTATCGTCTGAACTAAAATAAAATGATACGTTTATTAGTTTTTTTTTTTTTTTAAATAAAATTATACTAACAAAATTTTGAGAAAAATTATAATATTTTTAATAAAAAGGCCGTCATTTTGTCCAGAATAAAAATACTGGTTTAGTTCTAGTTCAGACGATAGCTACATTTCTTCAGAATAAGAAAAATTGCTTTTGACGTTTCAGATATCTAGAACAGCTAGAATCATTTACATCGTCCATCATTTACACCTTCTAGTGACTAGAATATAACATAGAAAAAAAGAGCATTTTTGTTATTTATAAAATAAAAATATATTCTTAAAATAAGGCTAAAGGATGCCCTTATGAAAAAATACCATTGGCCAATGCTTTTTTGCCAATGGTACTTTTTCATAAGGGTGAACATGAAAAGTTTGACGTTTTGTTCGCTTTTTACGTTTCCTTATAAAAAAATCCTTTTTTCTACGATCTTTCTAATTCTAATATTCTCTTAATTTATTTTATTTTGTTTCTTTATTACAAAATAACATCTATTCAGTTTTAGCTTTTTCCATTGTCTGTAGATATTGTTCTTTCAGGTTGCTAAAGGCAAGCCACCCATAGTAAACTATATTTCATTTGGCCCTTGTACCTTTGGCTCAAGGATTAAGTTGGTGGTCCAAGTTATCCGACTGTTCGAACTCACCCTGCATCTGTTGCGAAACCCGAAGGTTTGTGGCTAAGAACATGAAATGCTTTATATTTCATTGTGGATAAGGCATTACTATTTTTTCCCTATTATTCAACAACTTACTGAGGAATATATAGGCCATGCAATCAGACCATATTACATGAAATAGAAAAAGACAGAATTAATATAGTGCTAATTAATAGTCATCCTGCGATTCCATTGCTGCCGAACACCTTGGAGATCGCAGGATTGAATTCCCAGGCCGTGCAACCTGTCACGTTCTGACTGTTATTGTTCGTCCGTTTTTTGGTCAATGCGTTTAAGCAATTTACCAGGGATTTGGACAAGTCATGTAAAGGATATTATTATTATTATTGTTATTCGGGACCGAAAAGATATTTAACTTTGTAACGAGGATTACTTTTGTTTATCTGATTAAAATGAGGATAATCGATGTCGAAGTCGACAAGAATAGGTTCAAATGGAGGTGCTTTTTCTAGTTGTCGCAATTGGTAGAGAAGGGGGAGAGGATCTTGATTAGAAATGGCTGCTTGTTTAATCTGGAACCTAATTCTTTTGATTTGAGTTGGTTTGCCTCCCTTTTTCGTCATCTAACCCGGATCCTCGAAAATGAATTTTATAGCTCGCCACACTCTTCGTCAGCGCTCAAAAGCCAATCCGCCACACTCTGCTCGCCACACTTTTCGTCAGCGCTCAGATCGGCAGCGTAAAGGCCAAATTCACTTTCGGGAATTAATAGTGATTCTAAAGATCAACCTGTTAAGTTCGAATCTCGCGCTTTCACTAGTCACTATAGAGTACGTTTACACGGCTTCTAACTTCGATTTAGTAACGCTGATGTTATAACTCCTACTTAACGTGAGTTGCGTTTACACGTTCAGGCTTATCTTACTCCCACCAAGCTGAAATAGTTTAACAACTTTCAAGTGAGATTTTCATTGGTACCAATATAAAGTACTAAAAATTAGATGCTTGCTTGTGGTAAGGTTAGGATCTGAAAGAATGTAAATAAGTCAACAAACGAAGTGGACTTTTAGGTTAAATATTTGAAAATGTCATCT